TGCGCGTGTGTGTGTGTGTGTGCGTGTGCGTGTGCGTGTGCGTGTGCGTGTGCGGGTGCGGGTGCGGGTGCGGGTGCGGGTGCGGGTGCGGGTGCGGGTGCGGGTGCGGGTGCGGGTGGGTGGGTGGGTGTCTGCGCGTGCGCACACAGCCTGGTCGAACCTGATGTAAACGTCAGGGTGCAAGCAGCCAAGCCAGTCTTGCACCAACGAAAGCGACATCGGAGATTACAGCGCGCAGCCGATGTTGCAAGGGCAGAGAGGGCGTCGAAAATCACTAGATCCCGACACTTCACGACTGGGCAACAAACTGCGTGCGACAAGAATTCTCGCTCATGTCATTGCGTGCACAAGTGCACTGACACGCCAAATCTGGCTTATCCGTGCGATGGGACACCCCAATCGCAGCTGCGAACGAACCCACTCGCCCGTGACATCTGTAGCCATCTTCACTGTGCACCACCGGATGACACGATCATACGATACACTACTGCATTTGCGGGACTGTTGGTGCCCAGTGCTGCTCGGTCAATACTTGTCTGCGAATGCAAATGGCTTTGACAATAAGTCTTTCCTGTTGAATCTTGTGACATACATCCATGAGACTACAACGGTCCTGTGCCCGGGAGAGCCTGCGTAGGAGGACATCCCCCAGCCTGCTTGTGGGTTTGGCAGGAGAGGTGCGTCGATTGTTGTGACGGAGGAGCACTGCTACATTGGGGTGATGCTGGCCGGCTGTTCGTGGTTTGCGTCACGCTGGGCGTGTCGCCAATGCACAATGTGATGTTCATCGGTGTCAGCTGGAGTTGCTGTCCGATACGATGACCATCTCAAAGGTTTGTGGTTGTGCAGCGGGGATTAGATTGGCCCCGCCGCAGTTGGCAACCAGTCGAACGTGGACCTGGTGTGTTCTGCACTGTTTGGAACTATCACAGCTACAGCAATTTCGACGGTGGCCACAGACACTTGCTGGAAAGTCTGCGTGCTCGGGGCTGCGTTGGCATTCTTGAACCACCCAGGCAACCACCCCAAGAAGCTGCTACTCAGGGCAGAGCGCGCTCCCGGGGGGAGGTTGCTTCACCTGCCGTGGCATTCAGCCTGTTCTTTTTTGTTGGGAGTGGCCCGACAGCAGCGCCTGTAGATTATTACTCTTTTTGATCTTGCACATCTCGTCGACACTCTCCAGCACCAAGCTCGTTGTCTTCGAGGCAACTTGTACAGGCCGTAGTTTTCTGGGCTTTGGGACAGGGGGCCATAGGACCTGAGGTTGTCCATCAGCTCGACGCCCAAAGTAAAGTCGATACATCAGCGACTCGGGTGGTGGGTCGACGAGGCGATCACGAGGTTACTCGCCGGACGGCCCGCTCTCGGGATTTTATCGATCACAAAACCACGTGTCTTGCTCAAGGCACACAGACATTGTCGAAAGTCGAGGTCCAGCTACGAGCGAATGAGGAAGCTTTTGCATGGCTACTTGTCTGGAGTCGTTTGTGTCTGTGAGGCATCACGGACCTCCACGTCCCTGACGAGAGGTTGAAGCAACAGGACATGGTCACTTATGGACTGCATGATGACTTCACAGGACGGCCGAGAGACTGGGTGCCTACCGAACAGCCAGTGCAGAGGGAGCTCTTCCATACGCCCGTCAATTTGCATGCTATCGCGGTGGGATAGAGAGTCCAGAGCCGGAGTGGCTCAGGTTAGGGCATCCCCTATTGAAAACAAACACAGACTCGAGTGAAGGAACTAGGCTGAATTAGGTGCCCCATACATCTGGTAATCCCACATGACTAAGCCCTGGATCCCGACCCCAAGCCTCGCACGACACTGCCTGGCCTCGCCTACCTTTCATATACCCAGTAATGCAGGCAGGAGAGCAGCATCGGAATGAACACGAACATCAGTGTGAGTGACTGCCCAGCCAAAGGCACATAGTCTGTGTTCTGTGTTCGACAGTGCGACCTAGCGAGTAAGAGCTCGTCACACCGATCTCAAGCCTCTAACAATGTAAACTTCAGACGACCTTGTTCCTCCTGGCAAAGGCCCTGCAAATTGCGAACCCCTAAGAGAGTCGTGCATCAAGGGAGCTGGGTTTCAAGTTGCTCCATCTTGGCCCTCTGCATCCGCTCGCGCACTTCTGCATCCTGCAAACGTTTGGGTCTCAGCCGCTGAGAGGCCGGAAGGCTTCGAGCCCACCATGCAGAAAGGGTTGCTCACGTAGATGTTGCATATGTTGCCTGCTGGCCCTCTGTCCTCTCGCTTTTGCTGCTCGGCGGCACACTCTTCTCGGAGTCGCTGCAGCTCCTGAAAGGAACATCTTACTCCTTAGGCGAGGTTGCACTGGAGAGGCTGTCCTCCTCAGCATTATTGCTGTTAGCCACAGGCTGCGTGTCCCTCAGCATAGACCGCATTAGAGCAGAAACGCGGCAGGAAGCCATCACTTGAGATGCTGGCGCCGCAAAGAAGTCAGTCTTCTTCATGTCTGAGATTTGCCTTTCCAGCCTGCGATCAGTCGGGAGCTTCGTGATGCAAGCAAGCAAAGACACGCAGGCGGGCAGGCACTACGCGAACCCATCTTGCCTTGATGCTCGCTCGCCTTCATCTATAGCGGTCTTCTCGGCGGTTTCCTTTACAGCGCCGGCCGGTCAATCTCACGATAAAGCTCAGCTGAAGGGTGCTCTTCATCTCGAGCTCTGGACTTGAGGGACTGTCGACCCCTGTCCCTCTGGTTGCACCATAGACCGGCAATGACCGGCACAAATCGTGCCTTCAGGCGCTTCGTTTCGGCCAGTGCGATGACCAACCTTGCACCAAGTGGAGCTACTCTGATTTCGCGTCACACCCGAGCCGGCATGGCCTGGCCACTGCTCTCAGAAAAGGCAAAGAACACAACCGATTGGCTCGACAATTGGCTGCCCAAGTTTATCCTTGCTGACTGCAAAGCTGCGCACCAATCCCATCGTCGACTACGGTCCACCCCTGTTTGGTTGCGTCTTCTGCATAGACCCGTCAACAGCATAAGTTCCTGTCGGAAAGTGGAGTCGGAGCCAAGTCACCGTTTGACTTTGTCACTGTCCTTTCCAGGAAAGTTGAAAAAAATGCTGTCTTCATGGCTTGAACGGGACTTGGACATCTCCAGAGCCTCGGAGCCTGCCTCACGCTTTTGAAGCACCTCAGATGTTATGCGCTTGGCCAACGCATGCCACGCGCAACTCATGGCCGCTTTCGCCCAAGCCGCTGTCTCTAGGCTGCTCAGCCGTTTTTGCTCCTGATCAGAATCTTTGGCTTGCTGCTCGATGTGACCTTTGCATCTTGCAGATCTGACGTCATGCACTAAAATTCCGGAGCTAGCCTCACTGCAAGAAAGTGACTTTCGAGCTTCGCCATCAGCTTCTGCATCTTCTGCAACTCTTCGTCCTTCTGCACACTCCTTCGGCGCTCCTGCATCGGTGGATGACCGTCGTCAAAACCAAAACCATGAGCCTTCGCCTGAAACTGCCGGGATTAGAGCCCACCTCATCCCACATGTTTGTCGAGCCTCCGCCAAAGCAGCCTCCAGCTGCACAACTCGTACATCGCTGTTGGCCACAGTGTCAGGCGCCGTACCTCTCGTGCTATCTGCATTCATAAGAGACATCGCTCGAGTCGACCGCCTGCGTCTGCTGACTCGCTACCCCACAGACCTGCTCAAAACACTGGAGGCGGAAGGATGCCGAAGGGCTTGGCTGAAGCTTTGCTCAGGGCATGGCGGTTAAGAGCCAAGCTCCTCATCGCTCGAGAGGCAAACGTGCCTCAGCGCTCACAAGATGCAACCGACTTGTCAGTAACATCCCCAGAACGGGACTAACTGGACATCTCGATGGAAACTGAAGCCGAGCTGCTTGTCTCAAGGTGTCGGGCGGTGTCGGGCGAAGGCCGGCAATGGCTCTCTCTGGCGTTTATCCGACGGTTCCCTTTGAACACTGGCTACTTAGCAGGAGACTGAAAGCTAAGAGTCCACTCACTGAGCTGCTGCTTCCGAGCAGCCTCCTAGGCAACAGTGTGCCCCATCTATCGGATCCGTGTCAGTGGGTTCAAAAACTTACTAAAACGGCTCTGACAGATGCATTGAGTCTGTGCAGTTACCTGATGACCGCAAACTCGCAGTGAAGTTGGCCTCTGAGAGGTCCTCGCCTGTGTCTTCCTGCCTGGCATATGCTGGAGTTCGCCATGTGACGGTGCCATTTCAGTGCAAATCCTCATGAATCGTCGAACATAGACTCTTTCCCCTCCACATGAAGGGGCTGACTTGGGATGTCCACCTTGCGAGCTTCGGCCTTGCACGGGTACCATCTCGACAAGTCCTGACTACTTGTACCATGGGATGCCGTTGAGCACAGCCCGACATCTTGTCCCTTTCTTTGTTCTGATATCGCTTGCGACAGAACCACGACGACACGGTGCCAGTCATGGGACTGCGGTTCCACGCGCAGCTGCAGCTGTCGATTTTCGATGCAGCTGCGGCTGAAAGAATCCAGCCGGTCTAGCTATCGCTAGGTGCCAGAGCCTAGAGCTATAATTGCAGTCTGGTTGACGAGCGATGCACATCATGCCGCAGCTCACATTCGAAGGTCCCTTTACCCTGATGTGGTACTATGCAAAATTCGCCCAATTCGCAGCTAATCGAATTCGAGCCTCGACAGTGCAACTCCCAGTTCTGGGATTGTCGTCAGACCGCATCTGGCCGGCACGGCACTGACACTGCCAGGCATCGAAGTCCTATTTGCCAAAGCCCCCTTGCAGCGCTGTTCCGGCACAAAGCTGATCTGTACAGGCGGCAGTTCAACTGCGAAACACGTGCAGTCGGCGAATGACACAACCTAGTCATCTGTGGCCTCGGAAGCAGCAGTTGCGTTCGTGTGCTCTGCAAGCTGCTCGAGCACATCCATGCCGGCACCTCTGGCCGGGGACTGGCTGCCGGAGATTCCACTGCCGCTTCAAGCAATAGCTTCGCCATCTGCAGCACCGTCGAACACGAACTCATATCTGACTTTCATCGCACCGCAGCGATAGCCACTAGCCTCTGTGAGCGTTTGATGGGCAGCGGCCAGAGCCTGCTTCTCCTTGTCACCTTGCATCGCTCTGGCAAAGGCGAAACAGAGTGGAAGCTGACCGCTTGCTGGGGCCACAGGCCCAGCCGGTCAATGGCGGATGGCTCGGAATCAACCTTCAGAATTTCCGGCTGCCAATCAGACAAAGGATTCAACTCCACAAGCCTGGCCTCTGACTGGGCTCGAGGGGCAACCTCTGCAAGGCTTGCCCCTGCATCGCCTGGGCCTCAGCGATTGCCCCCAAACCCAAAACACGCCGTGCCAGCGAGTGTGCCCGCCTTCAGGTATAACTGCTTCGTTTTCCCGGCAAGCTTCCTCCTTGGTTACAGAAAGACACTGGTGAACTCTGAGTGCATCCGTTGAACACCATGTGGCTGAGGACATTGCAGGGTCCGCTTCCATCGGTGCCTCCTTCAGAATCGCCTTGTTAAAAATCTGAAAACGAAGCTGGAAAACATGTGCTTTAATGCAGTGAGAACAACGGCGATAATTAAGCAGGAAGCACCTCGGGTGGGGCAGGGGGAGCAACGGCATCACCTGGGCCACGTGACTCTTGGCGTCACAATCGACTCGGACTCCTGTGCCCGGTGCCCCCGATGCGAACCCGAATGGCCTGCAACCAGCTCGCTCGGATCCTGCACCGAACGTCAACATTGCGTTCTGCTGGCTGCGCAATGCTGCGCGAAAGAACTCTCACTACCGAATCCGTCCAGAGCCGACGGATGCAGCGTCACATCTGCTTCCACATCGGCCTCGTTCGGCAAAGCCTGTCAGCTTGAATTGTCACATGACTGCTGTTGACAAGCTGCGTGATGGGAGCCTCGGGCAGCGTCGGTGAATCCGTCGGCGTACCCTCTGTGAGATCTCTTTCTGCGTTGCCTCACTACTCCCATGTCACATGTCGCATGCCCACAAGCCGTTTCCCGTCCGCCTTCAGCTGACGGGAGCGGTGCCACCTCCTGTTGGGGAGCCATGTGAATCGTCTGCGCATGCTGCCACCTCGACCCTCCGCAGCCATGGGCCCTTCCGAACGACTCCACACATTACATCTGCGATCACCAAAGCCGAAATCACCCTGGTGTTCCCATGCCACAGGCACTCCTCGTCAACCCCAGTCGGGGAGACTGACAGCGTCAGAGAATCTGACATGCTCACGAGACCTTGGCGACTGACTTTAGACAAGGTCGGAATGAGGCCCTCAAAGCCTTTGCAGACAACCGCAGAGTTCAGCAGACTTCGGGCTGGCACCCTCTGTCTTGAAGCTGGACACGGTCTCCCCGAGCTCCAAGGAAGGCTCCACCGCGGCCTACAGCCAGACGAAGCGCAGAGCGAAGGCCGGGGTCGTCGGAACCGGAACCGTGGCGGCAGCACCGGCAGCACAGCCCCGCCGCTCCGCGCTTCGGCTTGCAAGGCCTATACAAGGCTTCAGCTCAGTGCACGGCAGTCACTGGCACTCCGGTAACGGTGTCTCCGCCTCGACTCCCTGCGCTTCAGGCACGGATCTAGACGAGACCGGCGGTGTCTCTGCCCGGATGTCTCGCAATAGCTTTGCAAGCCTGGCATGTGCAGCGCATGTTGCCCGGAGAAGTGCGCACTTGCACTTGCAGCCAGGAAGCTCTTGCAAGTGCAAAGACCTGGCACCAAGTCGAATTCCAGGCACCATCTTCAGCTGTTCGGCCTTTTCCGTAGGATGGAAAAAAGGCTCAGGTCCCGGCGCATTGGCAAAGTGCTGGAAGACGACTGTCTCTCCTCCCGACTCACCGGCACAAAAAACACACACAAAACACTCGAAGATTGAGCATCTCGTTCCATTTTGCACAGGTCCTTTGGAGGACTCGCAGGCCTGGGCCCTCGGCTCCCGCCAAAAACGCAAACGACACGGAAGACCCCAGGTCGCCTACGCAAGAACGAGAGCCAGGCGACGTTGCGTCTGTCAAGTCAGGCGTCGATGGCTCCGCCAACATGGGCATCAACCGAAGCAAAACGCCCAAGTAGAGAACAACTTTAAAGATTGGCTGTCGTAAACTCATAAAAATGGTGTTGGCCAGCTACCTGGTTTAGCAACCATGGCTTTCGACAGCTGCACAACGCGCCGGGCTAGACGCAAGTGACAATGTTTCACTTTAACTTGCTCCCAGTTCGTTGGTGAGCCATTGCTTCATGAACAGATTGGACCTTGACGTCCCCGTACACAACGATCAAGTGACTCAAGATTTTGACCATCTGAGTTGATCCGGGCAGTGCACCAGGCCTGAAGGAGGTGCATGAGTGCTGTCACAGCTCTGGTAGACCTGATGTCGAAAGGGAAATCGAATTAGCGCTGTCCCTCCTCGAAAAGGCTGTGGGCTTGCTTCGGCAAACAATGATCCTACAGCCTTTCTCCATCACGGTGTTGCACAGCTTGTAGATCTACTCAAGCATTGTAACTTTCACGTGTTGGCCCGTCTGATCAGGCCCCGTAGGCTAAACTAAGCTTCACTCACCGGCCACAGATTGCCGGCCAAATCCTCAGAACCAATATTGCCTTGGTTTACGTGGTATTTCTATGTCATCTAGATCCCTTGCAACTAGCCGCAAGTAGCCGTGATCAGATTTCCCTTGGCTCACGTTGCGTTTTGCCGTTTTCGAATCATCTCTGCAGCCGCGAACAGTTCGAGCAGCACGGCAGTTGGCGCACCCTATGCCCAAGCCGCTGCATTGGGAATGATATGCAGATTATGGACCGGCCTAAGCGTTAACATGCAGCCGCAAGATGCGAAGATGTGAGACGAGCTCGGCCTCGGCTTCCTCGGCGACGGGCTCCAAACTCCTGCCGCTGCCTCCAGAGCCCAGAGCCAGAGAAGCCCAACAGGAAGCTCGGAGAATCTTGCAAGCTTCGAGACCTACGAAGGTCTAGGCTCGCCACATGGTTCCTTCATCGTGAGGTATCTACCTCACGCCAAAGCACAGAAGGCACACCCCAACCGATCGCTCTGGTCGTGGTCAGCGCCTGCTGCATCGACTGGCACCTGCTGCCCCGCTTTGGAGGCTTCGTCGTCTCTGGAACCGCAAAACATCAAGCTGCGACACGCATTGTTTAAGATACCCCAAAACCCTATTCAAATTTAGGAAGGCCCTTACGGCAGCCGAGCTGAGGATTCGGGAACTTCGATGCTGGTCGGTCAAGTCCGGGTTGGCAGATGGCATTTGCCATTTGCACACAGCAAGCTTAACGCGGCACCCAACACTCGCGCTTAGGCATTTCAACTTGTTGATTCTTGATGGCACGGTTTAAAAAAAGTGCCACAGCACAGCACTTCTGGCGTCTGGTGAGTCTCTGCACTTAAAAGAAACTTAATCTATTGGCTCAAACAGGACCAGGAGCCGAAAATTCGTGTTCGCTGCAAGAATCCACAGGTGAAGAATTCAAACGTCTTTCCACACACACACTAGTCAGAGGCCTGGCAGGCCTCTCTCCCAATTTTCAATCATTTCAATAGTAAGTTCCAACCTTCCGATGGTGGACAGCTGCTGTAGCACTTGGACTTGAGACTTCGCCGCCTACAACCTCCGCATAGCCCACCCAGTGGTCGGAAGCATCCATGCGCGAGACAATCTTGCACTCGAGGTATGCACACGCCGACCTCGAGAACAGAGGTGGCAACAGGTGGAAATTACAGAAAGCCTCCTCCAGCTCCCCTACGGAACACATCTACTGCAGCATCGCAATATCTGCGAAAACAGCTGCAACTGCAACTGAAACAACTTCACCGGCGCCTCAAAATGGCCGCGCCGTTGGATCCCTCGATATGATCCACGCCCTCCAAACGATCGACTCCAGGAGCAAAGCGCTGCAAGAAATGCTTCATCACCTGCAACGTCTCTCGTTTGCCGTCCTCAAAAAGGGGAAACGATCCATCAATCCAGGAGCTAGGGGGCCACAGCTACAGATATCATCATCTCAAGTGGCACAACCTCTTGCCTCTCTCTTGCAGTCCATACTTTGGTGGGTGGTACATGTGGTACTTCTGCTCTCTCCCGACGTGAGAAATCCCTAAGAGTATACGTATATCATGCGCAGCGCAGTCCTCCAGGATGTTCAATGTGAAGCTGTCACCAATTCGGAGCAAAGGTTCCTTGGCACACGTTTGCCCTGCTCCAAAAACAACATTTGCAACAACATGGGACAACAACAGGGCAACACGCAACTCCGTGGCTTCGTCTTACGCCCAAGCCACCATGGCACGCTCCTTGGCGATGGTTACAGAAACCTGGCCACTTTACCCAATGAGTTCTTGCAATGGGTTGACAGACTGCTGCGGCCTGCAACAGGGTTCAAGTCCGAGGGGCACCCAGGGGCTTGCTGGATGCAGGCGTTACCCAGCTCGCCACCATGGCGTGGCGGACCCCTGCCTTCTTGGCTGTGACGATATAAAGGGAGCTCGCCAGGCGTCCCAAAGCTTTGGAAAGATCTTTATCCTCGTACAGCCGAGACATGCTAGCACGAATACCAAGCACTGAGTGAAGTGAGTCTACACATCATTAGCCCTAGCCCTAATCGTCCTAATCCTTGTGTTTGGTACACACAGACGACTTTGGCAGTGCGGTGCGCCTGGCTCTTGGCAGCTGCTGCCTTGCTCTTCTGCGTCAGCTTCTTGCCAATCTGCATCCCTGCCTTGCCCAGGCGTGTAGACAAGCTCAGGACGACACCTGTAACATGCAACCTTGCACTGTGGCCTCCTCAAAGGCGTGAAGGGTCTGCGCTGTGATTGGCCGATTCGTCACCTCCATCGCAGGCAATGCCTCCGGGATGTTGGCCTCGAGCATCCGGCTCCGCAGCAAGGCCACGGGCTCCTGGCACATCGCAGGAGACATCGGGAGATGCAGCAACAGACGATGCAGCCTATGCAGCCCCCTCCTGGTTGTCGTCGCAGCTGTCCAGCACGACAAACTGGTGCTTCTTGGGCTTCACGTTCGCCACGATGTTGCCAATGTTACTTGCTCCAGTCGACTCCTTCGGCGGTGCTGTGAAGACAATGATCTCGTTCCGGCCGAGGCACTCGGTGATTTCCAGCCCGTCCACAGCATTGAGGTCATGCATCTCCACATTCACGCTGCAGCTGGTGAGCCCGTGCGCAAAGAGCTGCGCGAGCCGCTCGCTCTCCCCGAAGTTGCTGACCCAGAAAACGGCGACTGAGGGGCCAATCTTGGCAGTCGCCTTCTCGCTCCAGGAGCGGTAGTAGTCAACGAAAGTCTCCAAATTCTGCGAGAGCATGGGGCCATGCCCCGTGGCCACGGCCTGGAGAAAGGTCACAGCGACTAAGACCCGGATAGCCTAGGACTTCTGACCCTAACAACTGCGGCTCCTTGAGATCAAAGTCGTTGATCTTCTTCAGGGCCGTCAGAACCGATCTCGCATTGGGCTTCATGAGGCAGTCGTAGTACGTGGCATAATGAGGAAGCAGCTCCTTCACTCCCTCGACATCCTCCAAATAGTCAGAGCAGTAGTGCATTCCAAAAGCATCACAAGTAAAAAGTATTCCTGTCTTGTGGTCGAAAGTGAACATCGTATCAGGCCAATGGAGGTTCGGCGCAATCACGAATTCCAACGTGTGGCCGCCACCTAGATCAAGCTGATCACCTGCAAGACAGGGATGGGAAATTCCAAGTTTGCTGTACCCGTGTCTACCCCCTTTTTCTGTCCAGTGAACGGAGCTTACCATGCTGGAGATATCTCCTTTCCAGATCGCCCCTGGGTCAGGTCGAGCCTGGGGGGAAGTTCAGGTTTCATGCACATGGTGACATGGCCATGAATCCTGCAACAATGCAAGGGGGAAGACCGGAGCGCCTGTCTGGACAACTTTGCTTTTGAATGGCTGGAAGACCAAGTTCTTCAGATAGAGGATGCAGATTTTGGAGCCGATCACCTCGAGCTTTTCGTTGCCAGCTGCCGCAGCCATTTCGAGGACCTTTCCGATCAGGCCAGAATGGTCGGGCTCTGTGTGGGACACGACCAAGTAGTCCAGCATAGCCAAATCGACCTCTTTGCTAAGCGCCGCAGTATAGAGATCTTCAAACTTCTCGTGCGAAGTGTCTACCACAGCTGTCTTCTCAGCGCCCTTGATTATGTAGGAGTTGTAGGTTGTTCCACGCTCCAAGCGGAACTCGATGTCGAAACGGTCCCGATCCCAGTCCAAAGACCGAATGGTGCTCGTGTCGTCCGCTATGGCTTCAATGGACATAGTCTGCAAGCGATACTCCTTTCCAGGCGTGAGGCCTGTCCAACTCTGAATCTCAGACATTTCTACATCTCGCTCTTCTCCCCCTCGTGCTGCCAGAGCGGTTCTCTGTGCCGTTCTCATCGCTGGGCTTGTGGTGGCACCCGCAAAAGTGGCTCCCTGTGGCCGGCGCGAAGTTGCCGGCATCGCCGCCATTGCCGGAGCACGGGCCTGGGCCTGGGTGGTTTGGGTCGCATCCTGCAGGTTCAACCCGACGAGGTTGGAGGACTCGATGACAGATCTGATGTCCGTCTTCACCTTCTCGTCCAAGACTTTACCAGAGGTGACCTCGGCATAGACCAACGAATAGTTCCCGGCATCCAGCACCGAGACGGCATGGCACTCAAGATATGCATGGCAACCTGCCAGCACCAAGCATCCGTTCGTTGACTTGGCCTTCTTGTGTGGTCCAGCCTTTGCCAGCTCTGCATAGCTCTGACCCTCAGGTGCCAGGCTGAGCAGAAAATCTTGGAGACCCAGGCTTTCCTTCGGGCAGCTGCCTGCCTGTTTTCTTTCCTCCATCATGGCTCGCAGTGGCTCTCCTGGCTGCACGGCAATCCGTAGCTCGTCGAAGGTGACCAACCCGTCGTCGTACGGATCAAGGATTTCCACAGCCTGAGGGCTTGTCCACGAAAGGCTGCCAGCACAGCAAACCCGTCGCTTATCTATCCAGCTTCGTTCGTGGCAGAGGCAGGGGCATTGAAAGAGTGCAAGAGAGGATAAGCGGGCAAAGCACAAGCGCAGAGACAGGACTAGGCAAAGGCAATTTCGACATGCAGAGGTTCATACTCAGGATCGAGCAGAGATGCAAAACAAGCTTTGCTGCAATCCGCCTTGTCGAGGCAATCGGCGTCGCTTGTTCCGAGAAGCTGCTTCAAAATGTCTGTCACTTCTTCGCCCTCCACATAACGAGATCTGATCTTCTCATGGTTCTTCAAAATGCTATCGAGGAGAAACTCTGGCTCTTCAATTTCCGCCGTCACCGCCTCGAGCTCCTCCTCTGGCTTTGGAATTGCGAGAGTGATACCGAGCGGCTCAAAAGATGCCTGGTTGACCCATGATACCGGGGTGAAGATGTCACCCTCTGGGCCAAGAGATGTCATCACGGCCTGCGACGTCCGCATTTTACCGAACGCTTCCAACGCCCCACTGCCAGGCTGCTTGGTCAGGTTCCGCGCCATGCTCTTGCGCTTCTGAAGCACATCGCGGCAGAGCTTCTGAAATAAGCGGAGGCCTGAGATGGTGCAAAGCTCTAGAGTTTCTGGCGTAGGCTTGAATTTGGCCCGGATGGGATCGAAGGCCAATGGGAAGCCAGAATCCTTCAGGCGGAATTGCAGCTCATCAACTGCCTCACCACTCCACCCAAAAGACCCAAACACTCCGCAGGGGACACGTCGATCTGCAGGCAGGCTCAGGACAACTCCGAGAGCCTCTTTGACTTGGGATGGCATCTCACCACCCAACGTTGGACTGCCAATGCAGAAGCCATCAGCTGACTGCAGCGCTGCTGAAACGTCGTCGGCAGTGCAATGCTCGAGGTTCAAGTCCACTACCTTGACGCCGGATGTCGCAAGACCCTTCGAGATGGCTTGAGCCAAGGTCTTGGTATGACCGTAAGCGCTGGCGTACATCACGAGGACTTCGAAGTCTCGCCGGGTCTCTTTCCTCAGCTTTTGCTCAGTCCAGGCTTCGTACTTTGCCATCAGCTTCCAGCACTGATCCCGCACCACTGGGCCATGCAGAGGAGCCAGCTGCGTCACATCCGGCCCACGCAGGGCCTCGCAAAGCATGAAGATCTTCCGCACGGACGAGGCCGCCCTCTTGGTGAAGAAGTAACAGTCGAACAAATGATACCAGTCCTCACAACATGCACTCTGGCGATGTCTCTGAGCATAATTGCAGGCTACAGTATCTTGAATCTTGATCTGTCAACACTTTCTGGCGGTCCTCCACGTATGCCTCCCAGCCTTCAATCCCTGGAGTGTCGAAAGGGCTATCTTTCTCGCCAATCTCCCTGTGCGCACTGAAGAACTTACCTGTGAAGAGGCTTCCGGTGAGCGGATCGAAGGCCGACGTGGCTTCCGGCAGCTTCTGGGTTGGGGTCAGCACGAAGCGCATCACCCGGCCGGTGTCGAGCTCGAGCCTAGGCTGGGAGAAAGTTCAATGCGATCCAATGACGAAGCAAGTGCACTCCTGGCCTGGAGCTGTTCTTGATGGGAAGGAAGCTCACCTTCCCCATCACCGCCTCCGACAACTTCTTCTTCAGGGCCAGAATTACAGGCATCGAAGCGTAGATCAAGAGCGGATCCCCAGATCGTTGCTCAACAAGATCCTCCACACGAAGCTTCATAGACCGGACGCGGGCTTGAGATCTTTCACTTCCAAAAGGCAAGACGATGCATTCTGTGCCAAATGGTGTGACCGTGTTTGGTTCTGCTGGCTATGCAAGGTGCCAACAACACGGATGCACTCCTGTGCTATGGGCCCGCCTGGATACCAGAGGAGTTTTTTCAGTGACACTGACCTACCCCTCCAAAACATCAGCGGGATGTGGTGGTCAGATGGAGAAGGAAGCATTCTGCAAAGCCACGTCGCAGTGGTCCACGCAGATTATATTATAGACTCCACAGTCTGCCTCTATGCAAGTAGTGTCGGTCCTGCTTTGCAGTCGGTCACGCCAGACGCTGGGCGGCGTGTGGATGGGTAAATTGCAGAGTTGGCGATGACGGTTGTTTCAAGCCGGGTCTCTCTCGAAAGTGCTTCGCCCGAATCCCGAAGCACTTGATTTCATGCGCAGCCGCACACATCATGAAGGCTTAATTGACTGTTTGCTATTGCCTCCTGGCTTCATGACTCAAAGACGAATCTTCTCGCAGTACTTCTTTCTAGCAACAGTTGGACAGAATGCAGCCCAGCGCAGAGCAAGCCTTCGACATGCAGACGAACAAATTTATTCTTTGTCAGACTGCTGTGGCACCAAGGCAATACAATACAATCAGACCCAACCAGCAACACCTTTCCCCAGATGCCGCTCCTCAATGAAGGGGACCTGCAGAATGCAGAAGCAGTCAGTGAAAGCAAATTGACCATTTCTTCTGCCGGGGCCTGCCCTCCGTCGAAGAACTGCAGCACCAGCATTCCGACCTTGTCCACTAGGGCAGGCTCCGTCTTCATCATGTCCAACATTAAATTCTGGCTGTCTCGGCTAAATGCGCCAATCAAAAGCCAGGGTTTGTCTGACGATTCTGGCTTGAGCAGGTACAAGTTCTCAGTGCTCCCGGCACCCAGGTCATACTCCTCTCCATAGCGAGAGCCCTTGGTGTGGACGCTGCGGAACTGCGTGATGCCCCCCGGAAGCTCAGAGACCACGAGCTTCACCTCGGGATGCTCATCAGAGTCGTGTGAACCCTGGAACAAGAACATCGTTTCAATCCGAAGGCTTACGGCTTACGCATCCGTTTTCGTAGTTGACAACTGAACTCTTTCGCCAGCTTCACCTCGCCGGCTTCGACGAGACCATCCGCCCAATCCCCTATCACACGCGTGGTTTCCGCGGTGTATCGACGTTGTGGCGCTAGCCTTTGCCCTGGACGTGGCGCTTGCCGGGATTGCGAGCGGGCACCCAATAACAAGCCGAAAGCACCCAAGGGCACAGTCAGGGACGTCAGCTTCTTGTCGTAACTTTGGACTCGCTTTGCGGGCGTCCTGACTTCCCGCACACTCGGCAAAGAGCTGACGCAACCGGCGGCAGCACCGATTTCCATGGCTCGCGTTTTTCCTTCACAAAGCAAGCGATAGACACCCTTCTGGAGTCCGCATCGCTGCCTTTGAGTGGAAAAATGTTGCATGACCGAATGAAGCCATGCCGTGGAGCGGCACATGCCAGCAGCCAGCATCTATCGACTGATCTCAACACTAGGCGACATAACCCTGCACCTGCGCTGATGTTTTTCTCGATGACGGTTGTCTGCTCAATCGCACGGTGCTATGTGCGATGAGACCGGAGACCGCTGCAAAACCATTTGTTTCGCTGCTGGTCCGGACGAGAACTTAGGATGCGCCGCCGTTTTGACAGTGCGAACCTATTTTGCGAAACCCGGTTGCCAGAAACCGGTGCAGTATTGCTCAGCCAAAGCCTGCGACATCAAATTGGAGCCAGGTTGCGATTTATGTCACATGGAACTGCCCACGTCCGTCCAGAGCCTGCCGCGCTGCGAATGAACTGTTGTGCCCCTCGTACGACACCTGAAGCATCCAAACAAGAAGTCCGGCTACACGGCTGTGCCGTATGCACGAAAGCACCATGGATTCCGCATCGCGGATTTTTTGCAAAGTCGACAAAAGCCCTCCAGCGTTTTGCTCTGCGTGGCTGAAACCCCCAAAGCGTAGCAGGGGCGCAGTGATTGTAGCATGGGCTCGCGGAACACCTTTGTCCGCCCAGGATGCAGGTACCGCCACCTGGAAATGCCAGAGGCTCTGCAGTTTGGAGCAAAAGCTCGGTTGATGCACTGAATTGAATGTCTCATGGAGTAGCCTATTGTCCCTGCCTGCAGCCCGTCCAGCCAGCACAGGACACGGCCTCAAGAAACAAGCAGAAACAAGCAGAAAGCGATCCCAAAGAATTGCAATTAACACACAGCTGCCAGAGGTAAGTCAAGCGCTCCCGGTCTCCGCGCTGGCAAGTTGCACCAGGAAGTTTACCTCTCGCAACCGAGGTCGCAGACCATGTAGCGAGCTTCACACATCTGAGCTCTGCTCAATACGGTGCTGTTCGTGGATGCTCAAGTCCACAGGCCTGAACATTGAGCCCAGTAACCCCAGTACTCCGAAGCATGTTACAGTGAAGCTCATGGAAGACCTTGCTGCGCGCCCAGCAACTGAACACGCTGCTCAGGCTGTCGCATTCGCAGAATCTCCGGCTTGTATGGATTTAGGAGATGGAGGACCCCCAGCCTCGATGACGACGAAAGGATGCCCGCACCAGAGAATGGACAGCTTCGAAAAGAGTCAGGGCCGGACCTTCGATAGAGTGCCAAGACATCTTGCTCCTGCCCACCGAGAGCCACTAACTCCCCAAACTCAACACCACGGTCAAGCTGACATTGACCATGGCAATGTGTGAACAGCTTATCTGTTGGGGCATCTCCAGCAACGAACCAAGCCGGAAGATTGTGATTGGCAGGGCCGTTGGCCATTTGCCAGCTTCGCTGAGCTGGAGTGTCACTGTCATTCCGGGCAAAGGCCGAAGCATTTCAAATTTCCATGACACCGAAACTGTTCCAACAATGTTTGCATACTGTTTGGTTTGACGCCTTCTTCTGGGGACAGAGTCATGTTGCAGGTTTGCGTTGCTTAGAGCCCGGTGCCGTTCTACAGAAGGTAAGGCCTTGAAGCTTCCAGGAAAATCCTTCGTACTCTTATGAGTTGCGAAAAGTTGGTGACTGCCTTGCGGCCTTATTCTACGATCGTTTAGTATTGAATGAGTCTGAGAGTATAATTCTAGCACCGTTGGGCCTCAACCATTTCTGAAGATCTGACGGTGCCTTGGGATAGATCGTAAGGCCTTAAATCTTCTAGAAGAATCCTTGCTACTTGAGTAGTTCAAAGGTTGTTGACTGCCTTTGGGCCCTAATCGACGAAGCTAGATTACTGTATGACTGCATGGTACTGATGGCCTGGGGTCTGAGCCATGTCTGAACAACTTTATCCGACGGCCAGCAAGAAGCTTTCAGGATGTGCGATCTGCCTAATGCACATCTTCATGTCTGCGTAAACCGGACGTCAAAACCC